CACGTCTGGCTAATTTGCAAAGGGACATGTTGTAAAAGGTTTACACTTTGATTGCAGATCGAAATTTAGGGGTTCAATTCCTCCGTGTCTCTATACGCTCAAAATACATATCTCTTACTAGTTCAATGGTAGAGCAGGATACTTCTAATATCTGGATCTGAGTTCAAGTCTTGAGTAAGAATTATACACCAAATTGAGTACTACGATTTAAATTTATGATAAATATTTTTTTTGTTAATACGCAGTTTTATTATGTTGAAGTTTTGTCGTAAATAAACCGATTAATGTCTTATGATATTTTTATTATTATTGTTTTGCACATAAGGCTATAAACATTAATCGCATACACCTATTTTTTTATGACTAACTTATTCACTAATTTTTTTGTGACTTGTGATGCAGCTAGACCTTGAGGGATCTATTTCCAAGATAGTGCTAGTCCTCAGATGGAAGCACTAATTGAATTACATGACAATATTATGTTTTATTTAGTGATAATATTATTTGGCGTGGCCTGAATATTAATATCTGTAGTTAGAAATTATGCAAATGATAAATACCCTATTAGTAATAAGTATCTTAATCATGGTACATTGATAGAATTAATTTGAACAATAACTCCTGCTTTAATATTAATTCTAATCGCTTTTCCATCGTTTAAATTGCTTTATCTAATGGATGAGGTAACCGATCCATCAATAACCCTTTTTGTAGAAGGACACCAGTGATATTGAAGTTATCAATATCCTGATTTTGTTAACGACGACGATGAAGAATTAGAATTTGACTCTTACCTGGTGCCTGAATCAGATTTAGAGGATGGGGCATTAAGAATGTTGGAAGTTGATAATAGAGTTATCTTACCAGAATTAACTCATGTTAGATTTATTATTTCTTCTGGAGATGTAATACATTCTTATGCTTGTCCTGCTCTGGGTATCAAATGTGATGCTTACCCTGGAAGACTTAATCAAGTATCTGTGCTTGTAAATAGAGAGGGGACATTCTTTGGCCAGTGTTCAGAATTGTGCGGAATACTACATAGTTCTATGCCTATTGTAATAGAATCGATATCACTTGAAAAATTTTTGTCTTGGTTACGAGAACAATAGATCTAAATTTTGGGGGTTAAACTGTTCCGCGTCTGTATACGCTTAGATAAATCTATGATTGTTACTAGTCCAATGGTAGAGCAGGATACTCCTAGTGTCAGGATCTGAGTTCAAGTCTTGGGTAACAATTCGGCATTAAATTGTATATTATGATACAAATTGGAGATTAATATTTTATCCTTGTATATGGTTTTATACATTTTGTTGATTAAAATAAAAAAGACGGTTTATATAATGTGTTTAAATGTTTTGACTATTTTGCACATAAAGCCTGTTCAAAGGTATTCTCTGCCGGGTGGAGACGCAGCCGGTTTTTTGCTCTATCGCACTCTGCAAGTTGTCGGGAAGTATCTTGTTTAAAATGTAGTTGGTGGTGCGAATCTTTTAACAACACATACGTATGGGAGCATCTTTTAGTGCTAAGGTGGTCTACAAAGGACCAGGATACAATCTATTGTGCGATGTCCTACAACTCGTTATAAATGCGTGCTATACCAGTACAAAAAACCTCTTGATGCAATCTTGTGCTACAGCTGCCATTATCCATTTCCACGCGCGCTCTCCTAGCCCTTTTCCTCGCCCCTTTTTGCACAAACCCCATCACACCCCCACAGCGTAAATATTGCCTTCACGACCGTGAGTGCCTAATGACACATATCCCCATCCATCTGGGACCTGTTTTATTCCCATGTACGTCAGTACTCTTACAATGAACTCCAAATCATCTACGATAGAATATCCAAATTCTGCTCTATTTGCATTCCGTTCTGTAATCACTTCCAGCCGGTCTGCAATGTATGAACCGCCTTCGTTTTCTATATGATAAGTGTCCACATGCTGTTTACGCAATATTAACCCCAAGTTCAACGGAAGGGTGTTGGAGGTATCCAGCTCTCTTTAAAGTTCCCAATTAACTGTTTGTGGTCCTGGTTTTGCCCTATTGAAGGCAAGGATCTTATAGTACTCAAAAAAAGCTAGTCTATCTGCAATTTGCAGAATGGCAAAGCAGCTGTTTTGATCGGATCTTCTGAACGGTTCAAGCGCTTTATAGCATACGTCTTCCAGTTGAAAGAGAGAGCGTGCAATAAAGGCATCGGCTCTCTTGTTTTCGACCACTTTAAGTGTCAACGGAGCTCGTGGAGAAGGCTGTGCCATACCGGTTCCAGGATCTAGCATACCAGGATTAATCGGGAGGTTTGCAGGATACCCAACTTCGATGAAATCGGCCACCCTGGTTTTGCGTCGGTCTGTTCCACCCGGCGCTATAGCTTGGATTGAAGGCTCGTAAGGGCGGCGGGTCTGAGGTTCAACAACACAAAATTCCATAGGGTCGCCGCCCAATTTATCTCGGATGAATGGATTTAAGATTTCTTCCTTTATTCCAATGAACCTGTTTAAAAGCAGGTTCATAACTCCATACCAGTGGTATTCTACCGTAGATGCTTCTGACACTCCAAGTGTTTAAAGTGAATGTAAAAAAAATTGGCTTTTGTCCGGGAAAAAATCTCGCATGATATCTGGGGTCATTTGCTGAATCGCCTTAATGATAGCGTTGTGGTGTTGAACAGACATTGTGCTTAGTTGCCGGGTAATTATCGAACCTGTATTGCTCAGAGTATAATAGCTTGCAATTTGTAGATGTTGTCGGCGTTTGGTGAACTTGTGCCACTGCAATGGTGTTGGTGCTGTATAATCGTTTATCTTTTGGATAGATAGTTGTCTTGCTGTGTAACAGTTGTGGTTGTGCTTGCAGTTGTGGTAGAGCTTGCAGTTGTACTAAGAAAAAGCTGTAACAGGATGGGACGGTCTCTTTTATATAGAGCTGTGCAAGGCGCTTTGTGACCCAGCATTCCATTCCATTCCATTGATTCGAAATCAAAGTGAGTCACATAACACGTCACCAGGCAACAGCTTTTTCACCGCTCCACATAAATTGTGGCAAATCCCTAGATGTGATTGGACTAAGAGTGTCTCGTGATTACAG